TGGTTTGAAGGACAATGTCGGAAACCTTGATAAACCCTGATACATCGGCCATTGTTGATAAAACGGCAATCGGTGATAAAACGGGCATTGGCCTTGATAAAACGGCCATTGGCTTTGATAAATCGGCCACTGCTGACAAAACGGCCATTGGGCCTGCGGCTATGGCGCTGCCAGAGCCAGAGCCAAAGCAGCCGCCAGAGCTAGAGCAGAGCCAGAAGCGCAGCAGAGGCAGCCAGGGCAGAGGCAGAGCCGCGCAAGAGGCAGCAAGCCAGAGCCATGTCAAACCCAGAAGCAGAGGCAGAGCAAAGAGCCAGACAGCCAACAGAGCCAGCAGCTAAAGCCAAAGCAGCCAGAAGCAGAGGCAGCCATGGCATAGCCAGCAGCAGAAGCATCGGAGCTATATTTCCACACGCAGAAGCAGCTAGGCGCAAGCAGAGCACCAAGACAGACAGCCAACAGCCAAAGCCAGAGCTAGCAGCTAGAGGCCAGAGCCAGAAAGCCAGACAAAGCCAAGGCCAATGGCTAGAAGCCAGAGCAAAAAGGTAGGAAGCAGAGAAGGCAGAGCTGGCACAGCCAGAGCCTGGAGAGCCAGCAGCTAGAGGCCAGCGTCAGAGCCACAAGCGCCGACGCCAAAGAGTCAGAGCCGTTGTCGGACGGATGCAGCGAGCAGAGAAGGCAGAGCTGGCGCAGTCAGAGCCTGGAGAGCCAACAGCCAACAGCAAAAGTCAGAGCCAGCAGCTACAGGACGCCAAAGAGCCAGAGCCGTTGTCGGATGGAGAAAGCCAGCCCGCGCCGCAAAGCCTCGAGTTTTGGAACGGCTGCTTTTTCCAGCTGCCCGCGCAGCAGCATCGAGCGCGCACGCTCTGCGAAGCTGCAAGTAAATCCGGGGCCGTTGAAAAAGAAAAAGGGAAGGGCGGGGAAACTGTAAAGACCCGAAGGGTTTGCAACCGCCAAACCCTAAACCCGACAAGGTCAAAATTTGGGCGGGCGGCTGGGATTTCAGCGCTCGGCGCCCCGTTCGTGTCTCACGGGGGCGCCGTCCGCTGGGAAACCCTAAACCCTAAACCCTAAACCCTAAACCCTAAACCCTAAACCCTAAACCCTAAACCCTAAACCCTAAACTTAAGCTCGCGACGACTGACCGCTCGCTTAGAGCGCCATGGAGTCGTGAGCGCACGGCGCGCTTAGCGCCCGGGCAATAGCTCCGAGCTATTGCCGATAAAGCGCCAGCAGCTATGCAGCTGCCCCAAGGGCCTCCCTTCTCTTGGGACCGTGCCTGCAGGCACAAAATATGCGAAGCAATATTTTATTACCCTAAAACCTAGGTCCTAGACCCTAACCTGGCTCTAAAGTTGCGCCCCTTGATAAAACGGCCATTGGCCTTGATAAAACGGCCATTGGCCTTGACGCATTGGTTTTCGCGCCCCTTGATAAAACGGCCATTGGCTTTGATAAAACGGCCATCAGCCTTGATACAACGGCCATTGCCCTTCACGCCCCTTGATAAAACGGCCATTGGCTTTGACAAAATGATCTGGCCATTACACTGCCACTCGGCAAAACTCCAGGATAACATCAAAAGGTCTGCTCTTTCGGCCTCGCAACAAAGCTGCTCCCCGTTGAAGCCGTGGCCTGCGCTATGGTCCCCAACGCTCGACGAAATCGCAGAAGCCGCGCCCTGAACGATGACCCCTAACTGATCCGTCGCTCCCGCCTTGCGCTGCGCTTCCAACGCAGCCAGCGAACGGACGACGGCTTGTTGCCAGCCTCTGCGCAACGCAGCCAGCGCACGGCCGACGGCTCGTTGCCGACCTCTTGCTCGCCTTCGAAGCAGATCGCCCGCGCGTCGCCTCCTGTACGAAGGAGCCCGCGGCGAGTCGACCAAGCGCAGAGCAAAGCTTTGGGCTCCAACCGTCACAGCTGCGCCTTCAAGCGGTAAACGTATCTGCAACTCCTAGCGTTGAAATCGCTGCAGCCTTGGCCTCAACTATGGCCCAACGCTCGCTCAAAGTTGTTACCAGCCTGAAGCAGAGCAGCTCCGAAGCGGTTGCAAAGCCCAAGCGCGCGCGACCGCCCCAGTCTAGCGCAGTGAAGGGCTCACGTTGAAGCCGTGGTACGGCCCCCAGCCGCGCCCTGAACTATGACCCCTAACTGCTCCCGTCTTGAGCTGCACTTCCAACGCAGCCAGCGAACGGACGACGGCTTGTTGCCAGCCTCTGCGCAACGCAGCCAGCAAACGGCCGACGGCTCGTTGCCGACCTCTTGCTCGCCTTTGAAGCAGATCGCCCGCGCGTCGCCGCCTTTTACGAAGGAGCCCGCGGCGAGTCGACCAAGCGCAGAGCAAAGCTTTGGGCTCCAACCGTCGCAGCTGCGCCTTCAAGCGGTAAACGTGTCTGCAACTCCTAGCGTTGAAATCGCCGCAGCCTTGGCCTCAACTATGCCCCAACGCTCGCTCAAAGTCGTTACGAGCCTGAAGCAGGCGGCTCCGCGCGCGAAGCGGTTGCGAAGCCCAAGCGCGCGCGACCGCCCCAGTCTAGCGCAGTGAAGCTTTGGGCTCAAGCTAGTGCAGCTGCAACTTTCACGAAACGTTTCTGCCACTGAACTAGCTCCAGCTGCAGCGTTAGGCTAGCGCAGCGATTAAGTCGCTGCAGCCTTCTGAATTATCCTCCGCCTCCGTTCGACGGAGGAGCCCGCGGCGAGTCGACCAAGTGACGTGGCCAGCTCCTAGCCTTGCGCAATCGCTGCAGCCTTGGCCTCAACTATGGCCCAACGCTTGCTCAACTTCGTTGCCTCAAGCAGAGCAGCTAGTCCAAGCGCGTGAGACCGCCCCAGTCCAGCGCAGTGAAGCTTTGGGCTCAAGCCAGCGCAGCTGCAACTTTCACGCGGCAAACGTTTCTGCGACTCAACTCGCTTCGGCTGCGCTAGCGATTAAATCGCTGCAGCCTTTGCCTGAACTATCCTCCGCCGCTTGACCCCTCGCCGGCCTGCGCGAGCCTCAAGCAGCTGCGTCACAAGCGCCCACGTCTCCTTGGGAAGTGGTATGAGTCGGCCAAGCAAGGTGGCCGCCGCGCGCGACTCTTTTGAGCTCCAGCCGTCGCAGAAAAAAGATGCGAATTTCAAGCGTTTGCGCTCTGGGCTTGTTGTCTTCGCGCGACCGAGCGCTTCCCGTATCACTCGCCCTGCCGGGCTCCAAATTAAAACCCTAACCCCTAAAAGATTTGTCTCTGGGCGGTATTGGGGTGGGTTGAAGCAGCCGCCTCGGCGCGCCGCCCTGCGACCCTCTGGGTCGAGGCGCGAGCGACGGCGCGGGTTTGCCATGGCTGCGGGCGGAAGCTTCGCTCGGAAGATTGTTTCGGGAAGCCCGACGGGCCAGCCCCCAGCGCCGAAATAACGGAGCGCGCGCGTGCGACGGCGCGGGTTTGCCATGGCTGTCGGCGTCCAAGATCCCCCCGCTTTGCATCGCTCGGAAACTTGTTTCGGGAAGCCCGTCGGGCCAACCCCCCAGCGCCAAAACGACGGAAGCGAGCGCGAGGGAGGCTGTCGCAGAAGCTTTGGCCGTCGCCCGGAAAATTGTTTCGGGAAGCCCGACGGGCCAGCCCCCAGCGCCAAAATAACGGAGCGCGCGCGTGCGACGGCGCGGGTTTGCCATGGCTGTCGCGGAAGCTTCGGCCGTCGCCCGGAAAGTTGTTTCGAGAAGCCCGACGGGCCAGCTCCCAGCGTCAAAATTACGGGAGCGAGCGCGAGCGACGCACCCCCTCCGAGGCTGTCGCGGAAGCTTCGGCCGTCGCCCAGAAAGTTTTCTTGGGAAGCCAGACGGGCCTGACCCCAGCGTCAAAACGACGGGAACGAGCTTTCGGGCAGCCCGACGGGCCAGACCCAAGCCCAAACCCTCGACGATTCTTCGCATCGCGAAAAATAGCACGCGACGCGCCCGGGCCGGGTTTCTGCGAACCCTAAACCCTAAAAGGTTTTAGATGTGGGTGGTCAAGGGGTGGGGATGCCGCTTTCGCCGCGCGCCCCCACGACCCCCAGGGTCGAGGGCGCGCTTCATCTTGGAAACCCTAAACCCTAAACCCTAAACCGTTTAGGGTTTAGGGTTTAGGGTTTAGGGTTTAGGGTTCGCCAATACAGCTTGGCGCCCAAGAGAAATTCAATTTGACTCACGAAGATGTAAAGGAGCAAACCACTTTGGGGGGTGCGCCCTCGTCTTTTTTAGATAAAATGGTCTACGGGCGATAAAATGGTCTACGGGCTGCCTTGGCTTGATAAAACGGCCATTGGGGGCGCTAAAATGGTCTACGGGCGTGATAAAATTGTTTACGGGCTTGCCTTGGCTTGATAAAACGGCGATAGAATGGTCTACGGGCGATAAAATGGTCTACGGGCTGCCTTCGCTTGATAAAACGGCCATTGGGGGCGATAAAACGGCCATTGGGGGCGACAAAATGGTCTACGGGCGATGAAATGGTCTACGGGCGCCTTAGGAATCCTAAACCCCGAACCTTCGAAATCCTGAGCCCCGCGCCCCAAACCTCAAAAATCCTAAGCCCTAAACCCCGGGCGCCCGAAATCCCAAACGCCGAGTCCCGCGAACCCCAAACCCTGAACTTCGAGGATTTGGGGCTCGGGTTTTTTTTGGTTTCGCGCTCAGGGTTTTGGATTTCGGGGGCTAAGGATTTCGATTTTCAAGTTTTAGGATTTGCGCCAGAGCTCCGGGGCGCTTCCCCAGCAGTGCAGCTCCTGACGCCGACGAGCGGGAAAGGCGAACGCGAGCAAGCTCGCAGCTCGCGGCTCCCGAGTCCTGAGTAGTTCGGGCGCGGAAGAGAGCGAGAGCGTCCCTGGAGCCCCCTTGAGCCCGCGCGCGTCGAGCCAGGACCGCGGCTCAAGGCCCCACGAAAAATCGCTCAGACCTTCTCCGTCACGCTCTCCGTTCTCCCCGCTCGCCCTCTCCCCCGGGCACCTCGCGCTAGCTTTTTGCCCCGAGCGGCCGCGATCACTTATCACGAGCGCTTCGCGCGACTTGCTTTCGGCCTGCACTTTGGGCAAAGCCTTTGGCGCTTGTCGCTCCCTTGCCCGCGTGGCTCGCTCCACGCGCCGCCGCATTTGCGGCACGTGCTCTTGCCCTTAGCCCAAGAGCCGCGCGAAGCGCAATTCAAACAGCGCTGGCTGTGGGCCGACGAGGGGAGGACGTCGTGCTCCGCAGCGCCGGCTCCCGGAAAGAATAAGTCGCAAGTCCGGCAAGTGAACCAACCGGCGCGGCCCCACTTAGGCTGCCTTCTCACGTCGGCCGCGCAATCAGCGCAAACCGCCGCCCACGGCATGGTCGCCATCGCGCTGCTGAATTCGGAGATCTGCTTCGTGCTTTCGCAGACGGAGCACTCCAAAATGCCAACTTTCTTCAAACACTTGAGACAGCGCCGCTTCGCCTCAGAATCGTCCTGCTGAAGCTGCGCCCGGGGGAAGGCGTCCTCCAGCTTCCGGAATTTACACCCGCGGCAGTCCAAGCGCGTCAGGCCAGACGGCAGCTTCCGCTTCAGCGTTTTCTGGCCGCCCTTGCTTGGGCCGCAGGCAAGGCAAATGGCCGAACGGTTGGCTCGGACTCGCTCCCACTGGCGGTCGGAGAAGCAGTCCAGCGTCTTCACATCTTTGCATTTCTCGCAGGCCGCAGAGGGCGCCTTTGCCTCCCTGAAGGCTTCCCAGTCCACCTCCTCCCCCCGCAGTTGTTTCAGCAGGAGCGCCGGGCCCTCCGGCGCGCCGCGGGTGTAGAGCCAGCGCTCGAAGGGCCTGCCGCAAACGCCCCGCTTTTCTTTCCCCCGCGCCCCCCTTCCCGTTTTCCCGCGCGCGCCTCAAGATCAAGACGTCCTCCCTGGAGCGGACCCTGCTTGCAGCCACGGTCCCGAAGGTCACGTCGGTCCGCTTGTCGACGTTGAAGTCAACCAGCGCGGCGGGGAGCGTCTTGCCTTGACTGCCGTGGGCCGTGGTCGCGTAGGCCGGCGCCAGCGGCAGCTGCGTCCGCGCGATCTTGAGCACCGGCTTCTTGCGCTTGGCGTCCAGCTTCCAGACCTTGCGGACGGGGTGGACCGGGTAGAGGCCCGGCTCCGGCGCCCCGTCGAGCTGCCAGGTCGCCCCGTCAAACTTCACATAGACGCAAGTCGGCCGCAGGTCGTTCTCCTCCCAGACCCAGGAGTGGACGCGCCCGGCGCTACCTCGGAGGAGGAGCTTGTCCTCGGAGCGATCGAGGTGGTCGGCCAAGACCACGCGCATCCCCACCGCCAAGGGCAGCATGCCGGAGAGGTTCTCGGTGTCCCGGTCATGATACTGGGCTTGCCGTGGAGGTAGCGCCAGTTCTGCTCCGACAGCTCGCCGCGCCGCAGCTCGTCCACGACCTCGTTCCACCAGGCGTCCTTGCAGCGCTCGCGCTCCTCCAGTTCCGTCACACCCTGCGAAGTAAGAAGAAAAGCGTCGCGGCGCGGCGATCTGACACAACAAACGCGTCCGCCTACTCGACTGATTCAAAAAAAAAATTCGTCGCCGCGCAGCGATCTCGCGCGCCCCTTTCTCTGTCGGGCGATCGCTCTTGCGAACTTCCGTCTCCCTAAAAAACCAAACAGCGAGAGAGCGAGCCAGAATTGTAAGCCTGCCCGGCGTCTGAGGGCAAACCCTAAACCCGTTAAAAGGTGCAAGTTTGGGTGGCTGGGGTGGGCTCCCCAATACAAAACGGCGCGCCTCCCCTTCCACTCCATGGGGGGAGGCGCTGCCGTGGCACTATAGGACGCCCTAAACCCTAAACAAAGCGAGGAGCAGGAGCTGCGGTAGCCAGCGACGAGCGCTACCGAGGACGCCTTCGGCGCCGAGGGGCGGCCGAGCGAGCCACCGCGAGGTGTGCGAGGCCGCGGGCCTCAACGCGCGGTGAGCCGCGGCCCGGGCGTGGTGCCCGAACGGCAGCCCGCCACCGACAGGTGGCCTCTAAACTCAATTACCCTAAACCCTGTGCCAAACAAGGCCCGGAATGTCTCCGTCCTCCTTTACATTGGCATGATAAAACGGCCATCGGCCTTGATAAAACGGCCATTGGCATTGATATTGAAGCCAGCCTTGATAAAATGGCCATCGGGGCTGGCCTTGAGCTAAAACTGGCCAGCTTGTGCCCCGGCAGGACCTGTTTGCCCCGGGAAGCTCATTTCTGTCCTGGGAGGCCGACAAGACTTTCAAAGATTATCCTTGATAAACATGGCAACTGGCTAAGCCACTTGTGGCTGAGGTTTCCTTTCGTTTCTTCTCGAAATCTCAAATTTGTGCATGGCCCGGCGGTTGATAAATTCTTTACACGGGAAATTGTAAAATGCGCAATCCGTGCTCCAAATCCAGCCATCGGCCTTGATAAAACGGCCATTGGCGTCGTCGGCCCACAGTAGCTGCTTCCTTGAATTAAAAAGCATGTAAGACGCCGGGAGGCTCGCTTCTGTCCTGGCTTGTGTGGGATCATATGGAGTTTGCAATCCGCGGCTTAAATCTAGCGGCCATTTGGCTCACGGCTCTAAGCCACTTGTGGCTGAGGTTTCCTTTCGTTTCTTCTCGAAATCTCAAATTTGTGCATGGCGAAGTGAGCCTCCCGGCGTCTTACATGCTTTTTAACTCAAGGAAGCAGCTACTGTGGGCCGACGACGCCAATGGCCGTTTTATCAAGGCCGATGGCCGTTTTATCATGTCAGTCTCAAAACACTAAGAAATTCAGCCGTGGCCACATCTTTGGATTTGGAGCACGGATGGCAAATTTTACCATTTCCCGTGTAACGAATTTATCAACGGCCGAGCCACCCGCAGACTTGAAATTTCGAAAAGAAACAAAAGGAAACCTGGTTGATCCTGCCAGTAGTCATATGCTTGTCTCAAAGACTAAGTAATGCAGGCGTGGCCAGATCTCTGGATTTGGAGCACGGATTGCACATTTTACCATTTCCCGTGTAAAGATCGTAAATCTAGCGGCCATTTGGCTCACGGCTCTAAGCCACTTGTGGCTGAGGTTTCCTTTCGTTTCTTCTCAAATCTCAAATTTGTGCATGGCCCGGCGGTTGATAAGTTCTTTACACGGAAATGGTAAAATGTGTTAGACATTTCACGGTGCCACATCCCCCTTTTGTTGCATGGCTTGATGGCATGTGAATTACATGACCATACTCAAGGCTCAAGTATTTGTGAGAAAAGGGTCGCGCGTTCTGCTTGTTTTGTTTCATGGTAGCGGAGCTTCGCCTGGAAGGCCCAGGGAAGTTCAATTAGGTAGAGCCCTAAGTTTGGCACCCCGAAGTCCGGGGGTGACCTTCTGGCTTTTAGTGCCACGGCAATCGTGCCATAGAGTGCCAGCTTTGCCGCACTCTTTGTGATTGTATTGCTTGGATAGCTGTACACTTGGAACCTGATGGATCAGGGTGCAAATGGGTCACAAGGGCCCGGAGCAGATGCTAGCATGAGTGCAGGAGTGCAACCTGCACAAGGGTTTGAGGACCAGATCAGGTCAGCTCTGAATACAGCCTATGCGGCTTACGATGAGCGACTGCGTGCAGCATGGAGGTTGCAGCAGCCAATGCAAAAACAGCAGAAGCAGCATTGGCCAAAGCAGGATTGGCCAGAGAAGATCCTTTCATGAGGCACATGAAGTGCCCAGATGCGTGGAGGCCCAAAGACAGAGAAGAAGAGCTCGTTCAGTGGAAGGAGTTCAAGTTCAGTTAGGAAACTGGTTGATCGCTTTGGATAGCGAATATCTTGCAGAGCTGCGTGTGGTGCAAGAAGACTTGGAAGAGCCTAAAGACATTCGAGCCATGACACCTGAGACGAGGAACCGAGCATTGAGATTGTATTCCATCCTGTGCACTGTTTTGAGAAGCAGACCGCTTTCTTTACTTCGTCAGTTTGAAGAATCTCGTAATGGGTATGAAGCATATCGTATTTTGTTGAGAGAAATGGAACCCTGCCAGAGAATGAGAAGCCTTGCTCTTGCCCGTGAACTTGCTTCGTATTCGAAGTTTGAGAAAGGGAAGTCACTTCATGAACAGCTTGTGCGGTTTGAGGAACTGGTTCAGACCTATGAGGCTTGCAGTGGTTCCACCTACAGTGACGACCTTAAGATGAGCACAGTGATTTCTAATTCGCCTGAGCCTTTGCGGTCGCAGTTGCAACTGAGGGTTTCATCATCCACGACATACAACCAGCTGCGCGAGATGATTTTGCAATTTGAGAGATTGAACACGAAGTGGACTGGTCTTTCAGCCCTACCCTCAACTGGAGAAGGCTATAGCAGCGATGGTCCTAGTCCTATGGATGTGGGCCAAGTTGGAAAAGGAAAGGGGTGGGGAGGTTTCGCAGGCCAGAAAGGAAAAGGAAAGAAGGGCAAAGGAAAATCAGGCGGCAAAGGAAAGAAGGGCAAATCGAAAGAAGATCAACAAAAGGGAAAAGGCAAGAAAGGCGGCAGCCCAGGGAAAGGAAAAGGAGGAAAGCCTGGAAAGTCCGGTGATGTTTGCAACTACTGTGGGAAGACAGGCCACTGGAAGAACGAATGTTGGAAGCGACAGCAAGATGAGAAGGGTGGCAATATCAGGACAATCCCAGCAGTCCCAGATCAAGGAAGTCAATGGAGCAGCAACAACATCGGATTGCAGAGCCAGAGCAGCACAGCAGGCAGTGAAACATCCAGCAAGGGAACAGGAGGTGTTAGGCGAGTTCGGCTGTTAACCCCACCGCTCACACCAACTGTTGAAATCTTTGACCTTACTGAGGGAATTTGGGATGAAGAGCAACATGATCCAACAGACTTTGCTGTATGCGCTGTGAAAATGCATGTTGACATGTGTGGACCGCAATCAATGGATAATGTCTTCGATATGGCTTACAGCGATTCTGATGGCCAGTGGACCACTGAGGATTTGCAATGTGTTGGATCGCCTGATCCCGAGATTATTTTCTTGCAGATGGTTTCATGTGGAGAAATGTCCAATGTGATTATTCTGGACAGCGGTGCGGATTGCAGTGTGGCACCAATGTGGTGCCAAGGGAAGGGAGCGAAGGGCCAGGTCGTGCAGGCCATTCTTCATGATGCTCAAGGAGCAACTATCCCTTCTGCTGGATCTCGCCGCTTGGAGATTGCGTGCAAGACATATGCTGGAGAGCCCGTTGTCTTTAAGGAAGAGTTTGTCATTGGGAATGTTCAGAATCCCTTGATGTCTCTTGGGAGATTGATGAGAAGGGGCTGGACCCTTGCAACTCAGAATGGACAGCATTTCTTATCTGGTGGGAAGGTGCACATCCCGTTATACCTAAGGCGAAACACCTTGGTCATGGATGCAAATATTTGCGTGGTTGACTCAGTTGAGAATCCTGCAGGTCCGGTCCCAGAGGGCTTGCAGGAGATCAAGGACTATGAAGGCTGGCATATTCTTGTCAATGATGTGCTGATGTATTCTGAGCCGAATGCTTTGCACTATATGGCTGGAGGAGAGGTTGCAGTGCCGCATGAATACAAAGCGAGAGTGACACTTTTGGTAACTGAGAATGGCTGCAATCTTTTGGAGCAAGATGCCAGATACATGAACCAGGAGGACCCGTTTCGTCTTATCCAGGAGGATTTTCCATCAATGGTTGATGCAGTGCATACTCTGACGTTTTTCTTTCGAGAAAATATTCCCAAGGACATCTTCAAGGAGAAGTTTGAAGCAGAAGCCAATTTGTTTGGTGTTCGGAGGAACTGATCCCGGAGATGCCGGCTGCAGGACATGCAGATGACGTGGTCATCGGGGAGCCGGTAGCTGAGTTTGAAGCAGACGTGGCAGAGGGTGTTGTTCTAGATGAACTCCACTTGGACATGAATATGACGTTGCGACAGTTGAGAGAGATCTGTGAGAGGTACAAACTGCCCTCATCTGGAGGAAAGAGTAAGTGCTTGGGGAGGCTGAAGAAATACAAGGTTGAGTTGGAGAACCGCTTGACTGGAGAAATTGCGTCCAAGCTATTTGCAGAAGAAAGGAGAGCCCCGATAGTGGCCCCAAAGCCGAGAGCCCCTTCGAAGGAAGAGCAGGAGAGACATGCAGTTTCGCATCTGCCGTATGCCCCATGGTGTGAGAGCTGCATTGCAGGGCGTGCTAGAAATGGCCCGCATCAGAAAGCAGGTGATGAGGTGAAAGCTGAGGAAGAAGTGCCGGTGATCCAGCTGGACTACGCCTATGGCTACACAGATAGCAGAGGCAAGAGTGTGCAGGAGGTGCATGAGAATCAGTTTGGAATTACGCTGGTTGCAG